TTCTTCTTCTTCTTCTTCTTCTTCTTCTTCTTCTTCTTTTTCTTCTTCTTCTTCTTTTCATTATTACCAGTATTATTTCATCATTATTATTAAAAATCATTTTCATCATCATACTCATCACCATCACCATTATTATCATTGTTATTATTACATGTAATATTATTGTTATTATTATTCATCATCATTATTTTCTGCACTGCAATGACTGTCTGGGAGCAAACTTGTTGCCATGAAAGCCTAGATCTAGTGGTTGTTACATAATAAAAATAATGGAGCTACAATGAATCCTGCCTTTCATATTTTCCAAACACTCGAAATGTTTCTGAGACGTCAAAGACGCCTTTTATCTTTTTACATCAACGATATCTATTTAAATGACAATACAAGGGAAACTATTCGTAAAGTGCAATCGTTGAGTTTCTGCCCTCGGACAGTTAAACGGGTGAGATTTAATAATATAAACATGCCTGTGGGTGGTTGGCGGGTGCTCTGGTGTGGTTTGCTCCTTCGTTCCTATCAAACATCTATCGTCCTTATCTCCCCTCCTTCTTTTTTGTGTTTGTAACTCTCTTGTAACACCTCTAATCTTCTGGCGCTCATATGACCTAATGCAGTTGCGAGCGCCGTAAAACGTCTACTAGGTCTACAACTAAACTAAACTAAAACATGCCTGCCTTTGCCTTCATCAGATATTTTTTCCTTGATTATTCGGGAGAACTTCCTATTATTCTATTGGTGGTTTCTTTTAAAAATGTTCTCTCACATTGTTTGTGCGCTCATATGACCTTATGTAATTGCGAGAGCCGTAAAACTCTTACTAAGCTAAGCTCACATTGTTACTTATTGTCCATAAAGACGTAGCCTAACTCATATGAACGGGCGTGTGTGGTGTAGCGATTAAGCGCTCAGATGTCGCACGTACGCAGGCGACACGAGTTCGATTCCACGATTATGGAGAATTTGTATCGAGTGTCTAGCCTAGATATTTCTGCTGGGACGCTGTATCCTTCTCAGTCTCGAAGTCAAAGCCTGCCTCCTCAATGATCTAAACTGTGTCAGTTTGGGGG